CTTATTAACTGCCAGACATACATGTGAAATTAAATATGCATACCTACACATAAACATTGTTTGGGAACAGATTGTGTTTTTTACCTACTTATAGGCAGGAGGAATGGAACATGCTTTTTGAAATGTGCAAGCATCATTCACAAATGATGGACAATGGATGAATTTTGTGTGGGTAGCTGTAGTGCTCAGTGCCCAGTTGGAGATCAATTTAAATATGAAAACTGGATTTTCGGGCTTAATGCTGAAAACGGTGAAGTGCAGCAGGCTAAGGAAAGGATCATAGCTGTGTTTACAGAAAGAGGAAAGAAAATAGTGTGTTATCAGAAGCTTTGAAAGAGAAAGAAGCAGCAGCAGAAAACTCAAAGGGAACATAAGCTCAAGACAAGTCTAAGGTTTTCTTGCATCTTGCAGAAATCTAGGCTTGATATGCACCAGTAGGAAACCACAGCAGGTTATATCTCTCAGTAATGCCTTATTAGATGTAGAATTTGTGCTGCTTCTGGACCATCTCAGAGATGGCATCCATATCATATACAAGAATCCAAAGAGAGAGATCTAAACAACACCCTGACATCTTTGTAAATAAAGAGGAACTGATTTGGCCCTCCAAATGCTGAATTCATGCATATTTCTTTTGATGTTTGCAGTTTTCATTCCTAATGGAAGCTGACAGAATGTAAATGAGTTTCTAAAGGAACCAGCAAAAGTGGCAATTTTTCTCATTTAATCTTCAGATGAGCTGTCTGTCTCCCAGATGCTGAGCTTCATTAGAATTCTGAAACTAATTTCACCTATCAACACATGATTATTGGTTTGAGTGAGGCTTTTGGGAAACTCTGAACAAAAATCACTATTACATGCAGGTTGGCTCAATAAAGGAGAGGGGGAAATCTATATTAAAGAAATGGCAGACTGCAAGGTAATCTACTTGTGTAGTTACTTAAACTTAATGCTTAAACTTCTCCTTTGATCTTTGCCCATAAATCCTCACTTGAAAGTCAATTAGAACTTTAATAAAAGAAAATATATAACTGATAGGATATCTGTAAGGAACCTGCCCCTCTGTCCTTCATCCATTTTGGTGACAGTAAAAGCCCCAGTAAACACCCCACCCACCCCAATGTAATGGGAGATTCATCTCTAGTTTACTTAATAGTAATCAGCAACTGGGTTGCAATTCACTACAATAAGTCACAGTTGCAAGATATAATAATGATTGCTTCACTCCAGAAATATTTCATTTCACAGGGAGCCAAAGGGTTTTAAGAAATGAGAAGAATGATAACCTCACCTTTCCAGATGTTGATTTTTCTGATCTTACATTCAGTGGATGAAATCATTATTACATGACTTGCAAAATGATATCATGATGCAAATGACATCTTTTTCACAAGTGATGTAATGTGAGACTATCTGCATAATGATGTCACTATGCAAATCCCTACTGAGAGACAATTTACATCATTTGAGGAATAGCAGTTGGTCTTACTCTTGACAGCCACATTCAACATGGAGGTCTACACAGGGAAAGCCTATATGGAAAAATACTCCTTCTTCTCATAATCAGCATTTCTTGATATCCAGCACTCATTTTTATTTGTTCCCACATCAATAGCTTTGAGATTTACGGTGGACTGAGAGAGAGGACTAACACAATCGCTCAACTTCCATGACTGATGAAGAAGTAGAACGTGGATGTTCCTGCCCCTAACATGAACTTTAACCATTTTCATATTGGTGTAGTGAAAAAGAGAGAGATCTACATTTAACACTGGGAAGGTTACTAATACTTGATCTCATCAGCAAACAATTACGGAATTTGCATATTTCATGGGTCCTTGTATCTGATAGTTCAATGAATGTTTCTTTCTCTAAATTCTTACAATTTATCTATATATATGCAAATCTCACTCAGAGTCAGTTTCGAGTTAAGGAATAATCCAAGGAGAAATTAGGAGAAAACTTAAGATTTATTGAGGTGGCTTAATTTCCACAGAGACTTGTGAGAAATGAAACAATTTTGAAAAAAGCTCCTTCGTCCCCAGTGTACCTTGGAGCAGCTGCTCCACAGCGTCTGTCTGGTGGGTGGGACCCCCACTCGGCCTGTTCCTTGATCCCAGCAATCATATTTTGGAGATAAATACCATGCTAGAAGCCTCCCATTGCCTTGAAGCCTCCCATTGCCTTATAAAAACTTTGTGTTGAGATTGGAAATGTTAGAAGGCTTCAAGAATCGCAGAGAACTGAGCCCTAAAGTGCTTTAGTGTGAGATCACATGAGCAAGATCTCAGGCTAACATCTCATGTGATATTGCACCGCAGTACTTTAGGTCTGTGTTCTTTTAAGGACTGAGGGCTGCACGAGATCCAGGGCAAAAGTCTTTGGAAACAAAGAGGCCTTCCTTCTCTTCGCAAAGCGTTTTGCCCCGAATCTGGTGCAGGCCTTGGTTAGCAGAGAACAGAGGCCGAAAGCACTGTAGTGCCAGATCACGTGAGATAAATAGTGCTAGATTTCCCACTACTGATCTCACGTATCTCTCACTACTTTAGGCCTCTTTTTTTCTGCAAATGCACCAAAGCAGGCAAGGGAACCGATGGCTCGCCACATCATCACAAGGTACCGTATTTTTAGGATTATAAGACGCGCTGGATACACATATAAGACACACATAGGTTTAGAAAAGGAACACAAGGAAAAAAATAGTTTTGGCCTCCGCACATCCCATTTTTGCCCTCCCGGATGTCCAGGTGCACTCTGCACAAAAAACGGAAGGCTCATATTTGGCCTTCCAAACCCTCTGCACATCCTGTTTTTTCCCTCCCCAGCATCCAGATGCACTCTGCAGGCCAAAGACGGACCTGTTTTTAGCCCCCCATTTTTGACGTCCCATTTTCAGCCTCCCCAATGTCAGGCAGGCCAACAGCAGGCCCATTTTTGGCCTGCTGAGTGCTTCTGGATGCCAGGGAGGGTGAAAATGGGACGAGCAGAGGGTTTGAGAGGCCAAAAATAGGCCCGTATTCCCTCTATAAGATGCACAGATAGTTCTACTTTTTTTGGGGGGGGAGTGCATTTTATAGTCTGAAAAATACAGTAAGTCCCAGCTGAATAGGGTGGGAGGATAGGTAGGGTGAATGTTGCAGAGCCTCTACTGTTATTTTTAAGTATGAACGATGGCCGTGGTGCTGCAATACCCATAATTTCGGGACTGGGTCTCAAGTACTTGGGGGAGGGCTGGTCGTAATATGGAATGGTCACTAGTGAACTGTCATAACCCGGGGATTACCTGTACCCTAGGACAGGGGTTGCCAAATGGTGGGCCATGAGAAAATTTTGGTGGGCCGCAGAGAAACTTCACCCCCAGAGCACCCCCCCCAAAGCAATTAATCCAGGCTGTGCAGAAACACAAGGCTGCGCCGCCCACATGGCCCACGGGAACTCTCTCGGCCCACTCACTCCTTACCCGGCAAACTTGCCTGCTAAACTGCTATTTTTCAGACCATCAGCTGTTCTGCTATGCCAGGAGATTTAGATTAGCTAGGACGCAGGAAATGGTTGGATTTCTTACTTTCTAGCTAGTATTTAGATCTTCGGCTCTGCTTTTAAGCACAGCCGAACCTCCCTTAGGACTGAAGGTTCTATTATTCAGTGCAGACTCACGGCAAGCAAATTTTATGTGACAGACTGAGCTAGCCGATGGCAGATAGATAGATCACTGAATGATTCTGTGAGCAACTCAATCTGCTTGCCTGCTTTGGGGTAAAAGTTGCTCCTTTTTTATAAAAAAAATCAATATTTACATACATGGTGTGTTGTGAGTTAATTTTGTGAGTTTGCTTGCAAGCAAATTTTATGTGACAGACTGATCTAGCCAATGGCAGATAGATAATCTCTGAATGAATGTGTGATTCTGCGAGCAACTCAATCTGCCTGACTGCTTTGCCTGATTTTGGGTAAAAGTTGCTCTTTTTTTTATAAAAAGTGCAATATTTATATACATACTTATAATATTTACATACAAGCCATGCCCAGCCAGTCACATGACCACCAAGCCAAACCCACAAATTAGGCCACGCCCACAGATCCAGTTAATGATCCCTGGGATTTAAAATTATGACTTTGGTGGTCCCTGAGGTCCAAAAGGTTGGCAACCCCTGGTCTAGGATGCTCTGAGTCACACTGCATGAGGCCTTTGTTCTTGGATTGGATTGGGAGAATGTGTCAGCCTTGGAAGCCATATTAGCACTGAAGCTTCCATGCTGCCACATTCTTGAGCATGGGAAGATGGGAGGGGGGAATTTCATGGAGTGTATGTGGTTAGACATAATAGCATTCTTCATTACAGTCAAGGTCATGTTCTTCCTGCACCTGGTTGAGGAGGGGTAGAGGGGACACCTCAAGATGGGACGGATGGTGATTGGGGCATGTGATGGAATGATGTGAGCAGGGAGTGGATTTGTAATTTTTTACTTATTGGAGGGAAACCTGGAATTTTCAGATTTGGGATTTCCCAGATGTGCCAGTTTACTACTCTAATAACAGGAACTTTGAGAACTTGTCTGTTTCGGAGTTTTTGAATGGAGTTGAGTTTTTCTGGAACGCTGACAGAATGCTCTTCCATGGGCTGAGCGTGAAAGTTCTGTTATCACATAGTTTAGAGGTTTCAGAGGAGAAATGACAACACACTCCTCTCACATGACCTCCACATAAAAGCACACCTCATTCGTTTCAGCCTCCACAGATAAGTTCAAATAGAAATGGAAAAAACACAGATAAGAAATGGCAGAGAAAGCATCTAAGGAAAGAGACATTGACTCTTTCCTTCCTTGGAGCACGATAAGGCCAGATCCTTTCCTTCTCCCTCCCAGGAGACAATATTTGATTAGTGTTTTTTTTAATAAAAAACTAATTATAATCTCTCTTCCTGATTGGGGACTAGAAAAATCTTACCCAGAGAGACCACGTTCCTATGGTTTTCAAGCATGACTTCCGAATGCAGCGCTTTCTGGTCAGGATCCAGCTGAGACCATTCCTCCTCAGAGAAATACACAGCCACCTCCTCGAAGGACACAAGACCCTCCTGGACACGGAAAAAAGAACAGAACAGGAGGATTCGCAAGATCTGTTCATCTTCATCACTGATTTAGACAAGAGGATAGAAGGGGAACTCATCAAATTTGCACACAAGACCAAGTTGACAGGAATACCAACACTCCAGAAGATAAGCTCGAGATATAGAAGGATCGACAGATTGGGCCCCATCTAATAAAACGAAATCAACAGTGAGAAATGTAAGGTTCTACATTTAGGAAACAAAAACCAAATGTACTGGCATAGAATAGCGATACCTGGCTGAACAGCAGTAAGTGCAACAGGGATCTTGGAGTCCTAGTGGACAACCACTTAAATGTGAGTCAGCATATTATGCTACAATTGACCAAAAAAAAAAACCCCAACAGAATCTCCTAATCGAGATATTTTGTAGCCCAAAGTACCATGATTACATGCTCAACATGGCCACAACGTTTGGATTTTCATAGTCTGCTTTATTTTTTAATACGATTTCCTTATTTTTGAACTACAGGTTATAAATAAGGCTTTTAAAAAATGCTAATGTAGCAATGTATTTATTTATTGTTTTCATCAGCCTTGCACAATTCCGAGTCAAAGAATTACCAAAAAAGGGGGGTCTCTAGCAATTCCTGCCACTGTGATACATGTATTCCTATTTCTTGAAGGACTTTTAAAAAATTGCTTCTTGTAAACTACAAGTTGGAGGAGAACCTAGCAGAACAAGACAACCAGAGGAAGCTATGCTGGCTGACAGCAACTTGAACCTGCTATTCTGCTCTCCATGTTGTGGAAGAACCCAAAAATAATCCAGGCCAAACAAGAGGAGGAAAACAGAAGGAGAGAGCACTCTACACACGCGCTTCACTTCCTGAAGGGAGAATACAAATCTAACCTCTTTTCCCTTTCTTACTTGATTTGGAGGTTCAACAGCTGTTTGATCTCCCTCATAAAAACCAGAAATCTTCATTCTTTGTTTCTCTGTAAGGAATAAATAATTTCAAAATGCATAATTAGCAAAATAGGAGGAGCTATTCTATAGGAGAGAAGTGAGAGCGAAGGGAAGACAGATGGAGGATCTGAGGATCTTCCATTACCTCCTGAGGGGTCCTGTCTTGGATCTTCCCAAGGGATCTTCCTGAAAAATAGCTCCCGAGGGGGATTTGATGGGTTCTTCTTTCCCTCAGGATCTCTGATCTCCACACTGCAGCACTTCAAATAGGAGGAAGGAAAAAAGAAGCAGAATTAATATACGTCACAAGACACAAAGTGGATTCTTCTATTCGGAACACAACTTCAAAGCCCCCAATATCCATCCGTGTGGCTGAGTGAGAAAACAATGGAACAACGTCCTACCAGAAGTGGAGAACTGCTTCATATTATGAATGCAAGAGAAGTTTGGGAAGGAGGGGTGAAGCATTCAAACACTTTCTCTATTTATTCCCTTCCGAGCTCCCTAAAGTCTCCCACCTGCCCCTGGAGCTGCTCCTTCTGCTCCTCCGCCTGGCTCAGCAGGAAGCCTTCCGCCAGGGCCACCGCCTGGGAGCTGCTCTCTGCTCCACACTCCCGCACCCAGCCCTCCATCTCTGGGGGCAGGAGAGCCAGGAGCCGCTCCAGAACCACCAGGTCCAGCATCTGGGCTTTGCTGCGCTTTCCTGGTCTCAGCCATCGCCTGCACAAGTCACGGAGTCGGCTGCAAAGTCCTCGGGGACCCTCAGCCTCCCGGTATCGGATGGAGGTCCAGGGCGGAAGTTCTGGAGGGAGGAGGGTTCCCTCCTGCAGGACCTCCTGCCCGGTTCTGGCCCAGCTCTCCCCACAGCTCCCAGGCTGAAGAGCCGCGGGGCCTTTTCCGCTCCCCTCCTTGGCCAAAGGGGGGGTCTCTCCATCCTTCCTCTCTCCCCGGCAGAGCAGCTCCAAAGGGCTCCGGGGACTCCGGGGGGATCTCCGGGGGCCTCTTCCTTCACGGGACCAATTCTGGGGCCGCAGGACGGATCCCTGCCGGTCCTTCTGCTTCCTTCCTTCCTTCCCCCGCCGAGGAGATCCTGGCTTGCAAAGGCTTCCGAGGGCTCCGAGGTTCCCGATCTGGGAGGGAGAGAAAAACCGACGCCCAGGATCAGAAAGGGGGATTCAGCCCCTGCACCCCCTTCCCCCAACCTGCCCGCAGCCCCAAGCGGCTCCTCCCAGCGCAGGGCCCAGGGTCCCCCCCCCGCTTCTCATGGAGGGGGCGGCTGGGGAGCATGGGACTCGGGAAGAGCCTCCCCCCCTCACCTGGGGCACGTCTGGATGTCCCCCCGCCGGACTCTCCCGCAGCCTCTCCGCGACCTGCGAGCTCCAGGGGTTGAGGAGAGCGAGTCCGGCGTCCTAGAGAGGCAAGGCTTTAGTGAGGTCACTTCCTTCGCTGCACCCTCTAGAATGGCAGCCCTGACGTTCGCCCTCCAGTGGCCCAAGGGGGAAGCGCCTGGAGTTCCCTTCCCTTGGCTAAGTGCGCCCCCTGGTGGACCTGGGGCATAGGGCCAGGAGGGTAGGAAGGGCGGGAAAGAGGAGCGCCTGGGAGGTGGAAGGGAAGGGATGATGGGCTTGGGAGTAGCAGGAAAGGTTTCCCTCTCACTACCTCTCTCTCTCCCCCACCTTTGTCATCCAGTGCAGCAGTTCTTCCTACGGCAGAATCTACCCGTGAAATATAGATCTTACACTGCAAAAACATATGGACGACACAACTCGATCAGGGCAAAGCAATAGGCGCAATCTACATAGACTTCTGTAAAGCCTTTGATTCAGTGGGACAGACAAACTACTCCTAAAACTAAAATCTTACGGTATCTCTGGACCCCTGCATAACTGGATAGAAGCATTCCTGTCAAACAGACAACAAATGGTCAAAATTGGGAGCGTCCTATCAAATTCTGTACCTGTCAATAGTGGTGTCCCCCAAGGCAGTGTTCTAGGACCAACTCTCTTCATACTCTACATTAATTGTAAATGGGATGATAAATTATATTCCTAAAATCTGTCATTTAATGAAGACTTTTGTTTCACCTGAGTTTGGGGCTCAGCAAAGGTATAATCTTGTGTACATTTTAAAAAAAATCTGATCCTAATTTAAGGAAGATTAATTTTTTAAGTAATAAATGAGAATATCAGACTTTATTTTGGCAAAGTCTTTATATTCTAAGAATGAGCAGATGAAGCAATTTGGTTCCATGCTGTATAGATTTATTGATAAGTTCAAGCACTGAACTAACTCAATATTTTACATCTTGTTATTTTCATTATTTCTCCATTTCACATCTTTTTGGTTAGGTTTCTTGCAATTGTATCACAATAGTGCATTTAGGACATGTTTTTGTTATTATTTTTTAACCTTAACTAACTTTGTTTTTGACTGGGGTTGCGGTTGTTCATATTTCACTATTTAACAAAGAGGGAAAGAGATATCAAAAAATGGAAAGCCCAGTACCAATGACGCCAAGGAATTTGATGTGAATATGTGTCATGCCCCTGGTGGAGACTGACTCTGAGGAACAGCCGACAGGAAGCGGAAGTGTGGCTCCGGAGGTTGTGGAGGAAGCTGGGGAAGGGCAGAGGCCGGCTGGGCAGTCAGAGGAAGACCCAGGTCCATTCCCTCTCCATCCTAGGGCACGCAGGGAGGAGAGGATAAGGGAGAGACATGAATGGTGAATGGTGTGGTCCACGGGGGTGGAAAGGGCCTTGATCCTCTTCATGGGCCGCAGCTGTGAGAACTGTTTAAAAGGACAGACATGCGTATGGGCCAGTGCTGGAAACAAAGCGTGAAAATATCTCTAGTCTGTCTGTTCCTATCTGAGTTTGGCGTCCTTCCCAGTGTGTGTTCTGATCTCTGTAGATGTCTTCAAGCCCTTATCATGCCTGGTTCCTTTAATTGCTTCAGTGCGGTTTGTGTTGTTTTTGCTATTTATAATTTATAGGCATTTTTTAGTTTAAACGCCATTTCCTCCTTTTCATAACTGTTTGTGGGGGAGTTTTTTGTCTCCAGTCAAGGATATTTGGAGCTTTGAAGCCAAGTTGAAGGAATAAAAGGGGCTTCACCTGTTTTTGTGACTTTGTTTATTTTTTATCCCACCCTGGGTCATTACAATATGAGTGTTTTACCTTTCAGTCCATAAAATGGACCGTTACAGCATTGGAGAAAAATAAACACATTTTACCCCCAATAACTGTATATTTAATTTACCGCTCTCCTCTCACGATACCTTGATTTTATGGTAAGAATTTGGTTTCCTTTTGTTTCTCTTTGCTCCGTTGAGCCCAAAACTTTCCCTCTGTGATTCTTCAAGAAGGTCTTTCTGCTTGTGGTGGTTGATGACCTTAATGGAACTGATTGCTTGATGTGGCTTATTTTGCAGCACTTTTGGGGCCAACATCTGTTTCAGATGAAGAAAAACCATGGAGATAAAGAATTCCCAATGTTTCAAAGAACTGAGATGTTCCTACAGGTAGAGAGATAACCAGGGAAGGACACATCCAAACTAGCAAGCAGAAGAATGATTTTCCTTATCAAAAGTAAATCTGCCATAACTTCTATCTTTTCCTAGCCATTTTTCCTTCAAGATCTTTGGATTATTCTCTTTAGATGAGAAAATAACCTTCCATGTGTCTTTCAACAGGTACTTTCATCAAAATGTTCTGGATGGATCCAGTCCCGCAAGATCTCCCATTTTCCTCTGGTGTCACCCACCTTCCTGAGTGGAGAAGGTCCCCTCCGGACAAGGAACGCAGTCGTAGCAGCAAACTGGCTCTCCTTCCCGAGCCCTCTTGACAAACCCAGGAGGACAACTTTCCACACATCTGGACTGAGGCCGAGACTGAGCAGAAAAAGAAGGAAGGCCAAAGAAAGTGGGTTAGAGCTAGGAATCCATGGGAACTGGAGCCAAGTAGCCTCTGATCTTTGCTGAGGTAAATATTAAATCTCTGCCTACTTGACTATGACCCCAATTGAACCCAGATTTTATGTTGCAAAGTGAGGCATTTGTTAAGGGAATTTTGTCCCATTTTATGACCTTTCTTGGTGATAATTATTAAGTGAATCACTGCTTTTGTTAGTAGCACCTTTGCTAAGTGAATCTGGCTTCCCCATTCTTTGTCAGAAGGTCACAAAAGGGGATCACACGACCACCACCTTGGGACACTGTAACCGTCATAAATATGAACCAATTGCCAAGCATCTGGATTTCGATCACATGTCCGTGGGGATGCTACAACGGTCATAAGTATGAAAAACGGACATAAGTCACTTCTTTCAGTGCGGTTGTCAGTAAATGAACTGTTGTAAGTCAAAGACTGCCCTGAATGGCTCTGAATGACTGGGAGAGAAACAGCTCCTGGCAGGTTCTTCACCTGGTTCCTGTCATTCCCTTCCGGCGTATCATATGTTGCAAGAAAGGAATTTCCTACTTCACGAAGTCCAGAGAGACGGCGCTGAAAAACCTCTTTTCCACTCAGAGCGACCGAAGGTAGCTCAGCCAGGAAGAGAAACCATCCCACTCCAGGGGGGATTAGAGTCTCTTACAAGCCCAAGGCCAAATCTAAATAAAATCTCTTTTCTCGTTTGAAGCTAGGAGGGCCCTCACTTTGGATCCAAGAAATGTTTCACGACTTCAGTTTTCTGGGTCAGGACACTATTTAATGAGAGACATTCTACTCACAAGACACTGTTTTTAAGCCACCCAGAGACACTGTGGAGGTATATAAATCTGCATATGAATTTGGAGAAGCTGAATTCTAACTCCAAAGCTCACTTCCCCCTGGGACCCACAGGACCTCCAGCCAGCCTTGAATGTTGGACACGGCTGAATTGCTTAGAACATTGTTCCATATTTCACAAGCTGAAGGACCCTTTCTTCATTGCACCCGAAGCCTCTCAAGCAGTCATTCCCCACATTCAGTTCTCAGTGAAGGTCATCCAGCATGGCCATAGAATAGAAATAGGAATGGAATGGAATGGAATGGAATGGAATGGAATGGAATGGAATGGAATAGAATAGAATAGAATAGAATAGAATAGAATAGAATAGAGAATAAGAATAGAATTCAGCACAGAATAGAATAGAATTCAGAATAGAATAGAATAGCAGGATTGGAAGGGACCTTGGAGGTCTTCTAGTCCAACCCCCTGCTTAGACAGGAGACCCTATCCCACTGCAGACAAATGTGATTGGACTTAGCTCACTTGAAAGGGCTACTGAGCCTTTGGAAAACAGAAAGGGCGCCAATATTTCACCCACCTTGTTGAGCAACTTTAGTCATGGAAGAGCAGCCTGTCGACAATCACTCTCTGTCTTTCCAAACTGCCCAGGATCTCTATGGTGTAATCCAGAGGTGGTATTCAGAATGGGCCAGAATGGTGCCACCAAGATCAGTTCCGCTTTCACCTTGGGTATTACAGGAATGGGGGGAAGGCATCTAGGAGGCCTGAGGGCCACCGGCAACATAGGGCGTTGATGTTTTCCGCCCCCTGAGATGGGTACCTCGAGATGAATCTCGGGAGCTGCGAGTTCAGAGGAGAGGCGAACAGACCTATCACTGGCATACCGAATCTCTGTACCGCCTCCTGAAACAGCTCCAGGTGCAGGCGCCACTCTGATGGATCCACTGTGGCCCTGCTGAGCCAGTCTGCCTGTGTGTTTGTCAGTCCTGAGATATGCTCCACTCTGATGGAAACCACATTCCTTTCCACCCAAAGGCACAGTTTCTCTGCTTCTCTCATGAG